AAAGAAAACTGCACCCATGCCTTAACAAGGTGTTGGGGTGATGGTTGGTATTTTTATTTTAATGTCAGGAAAGAAGTGGGGTCTAATATTGACCAAGTGAAAAATGATTTATAGTTCAAGATCCCAGGGACAGGGGGATTTCATGGTGGAAGAATCAGAGACCTCCAGCTGCATCTATCTCTCCCCTGTCTGTCCCTGCTCCTCTCTGCTTCCCATTTCTCAGCTTCTGCTTTACATAGAGAGCACCCCACGTGGTGCAAGGCATCCTGCTTTCTCACTGGTCTTCCCAGAGCTCAGGGTGGTCAGTAGGAGGGAGCACAAGCACGCCCCCTAGTGGCGACATGGAAGGCCAGCAGAGCCCAGAGGAAGCATGGGTTGGGGTTGGGGGTCCTGCAGCAGGGCTGGGGGTGGAGGTCCTGCAGCCTCTCTAGCAGCACTAGGGGGTACAGTGTAGCCAAGGCTTGAGGTCTCACCTTTGGCTGGCTTTTTCTCTGCAGTCTCTGTCCATCAAAACCTCATCCCTGGCAGAGGCTGAGAACATGGCTGACCTCATAGACGGTTATTGCCGGCTTCAGGGGGAACATAAAGGCTCTCTCATCATCCATCCCAAGAAAGGTAGGTCTCCCTGAAAGGCACAGTGCCCAACAGTGGACAGCTGCATGCTGAGCCAAGCCTGCAGGGCGATGTGGAGGCATGGGGGCGCGGAGCCGTTGGCCCTTGAGCTAATGCCTTCTTCAGGGGTGTGGGGAGGTGCTCAAGCAGCCCTGCAGGTGCTTCCTGTGGGGCCATCCTGGGTCGCCAGCTACAGGCCCTGGTCCTGCTAGTCAGAGCCTCGTAGAGGCCAGCTTCTGGAGGAGCTGCACTTGTAGTACAGGGAGAGCAGAGCCATTGCCAGGACGTGGGTGGACCTTCCTCTGTGGGACTCTGTTTTGGGATCAGGGTCAGCAAGTTGGTCTGAGGTGGATCACGGGGAGCTGGCAGGAGGAAGCCTACAAGGAGGATTCTGATTCTGGCCCAAGGCCTACATAGCTTCCACCCTGATGCTGAGAGGGGACAGAAGGTGGGGAGGGGTCTCCTTGTGGAGCAGTGACAGGCCCTCCTCCATCCATCCAGGACTCCGTGTCCCTGGCTCCAATCTTCCCTCCCCTCCTCTCTCTCCAGATGGTGAGAAGCGGAACAGCCTGCCCCAGATCCCCACCCTGTGAGTACAGTGGGGAGTTGGAAGGGCCCTGAGCTCAGCCAGTGTGTGCTGGGAGGAGGATGGACAAGCAGGGTGCCCCCACCCCCTCATTTTTGAGAGAACTCAAGACCCAGGCCTTTCCCACAGCGTGTTGTGCTCCCTGCTGCCCCCTGGTGACATCCTGGGAGGATTGCTGCTGTGCCCCATCCCTAGGCCCAGGCCATGCCCCTGCTGGGCTGCTTCTGCAATGGGGCCGGTGGGTGAGGGGGGAAAGCTCTGGGGGAGCTTTGCAAGCTCTGTGTTCATCTGCCTCCTGCCCTCTCTCCTCCTGCAGAAACCTGGAGGCGAGGCGGTCCCACCTCTCAGAAAGCTGCAGCATAGGTAAGCCTGCCCACCCTGCCCGCGGCCTGTGCCCACCTCCCCGGGCTTGGTCCCTCTGCCTGCTCTTCTGACCGTTCCCTCCAAGGTACAGAAGACAACCTTTCCTAGCCCTTCTCAGCGCTGGCTTTAGAATATCGCCAGTTGTAATAGCGAGCAGATATTGAGTAGTCAGTGCACACACTGAGTTTGTCATAACGAGAGGTGGCCCCAGACAAAATCACAGACCACATGACTACAGGCAGACATTGATTTCTCACAGTTCCAGAGGCTGGCAAGTCCAGGGTCAAGGAAGCAGCAGATTCAGATGACTGCCTTATCACTGTGTGCTCCTGTGGTGCAGAGAGAAGGAACTGTGGTGGCCATTCCTCCTCTTATAAGGACACTAATCTTGTAATGGGGGCTCCATCCCCTGACCCCATCTAATTGCCCCTCCAAGCCACATATCCTAAAACCATCAAATTGTGAGTTAGGGCTTCGAGACACAAGCACCCAGTTCATCATAATGGTGTTAAATGGGTAACAGGTGTGTTTGAAGGAGATGGATTTGCCCTAGATAACAAAACAAGAGACTTGTGTCAAGGCACCCCAGGCTCAGTGGCTGCCCCAAAGCCTGGGACTGGAGCCAAGGACTTGCCCAGCTTCCCCTTCAGCACCCTGACCTCTGGCTGCGCTGGGCTCCGGGTGGGAGCCGCACCCCGGTTCCTGGCCCTGCCTGATGAGGCATCTCGCCCGCGGGCTGGGTGTCCTCCTGTCGTTCCAGAGTCAGACATCTATGCAGAGATTCCTGACGAGACCTTGAGGCGGCCGGGAGGTAGGTCCTGGACCCCGCCAAGGCCACCAGTCAGGGGTCTGGGAAGTGACATGATGAGGACTCCCGGGACACCACCGTGGAGCTTCCTGCCCTCCCTTCCTCCTGCCCCAAGTGTGCTCAGGCAGCAGGCAGCCTGGGCTCCTGTGGGTTGAAAGCTGAGGTCCTCCCCTGATGGATCACGTGCTTTTGTGTGTCTGTGGGATATGGGGGTTCTAAGAACATGGACCTGGGACCCAGGAAACGGGGTGATGGCTCCTCCATGGATCTGAGGCAGTGGAACATTCTAGATCCCCTTTCCCAGCCCAGCCTGTGCATTTTGGCTGACGTGTTATGGGGTTCTGGGGCACCAGGGGATGCCAGCTAGTCTGTGTGCCCAGGGCCTGTGTTCTCCATCTGTGCAGGTCCACAGTACGGCATTGCCCGCGAGGATGTGGTTCTCAACCGTATTCTAGGAGAAGGCTTCTTTGGGGAGGTGTATGAAGGGGTCTACACAAACCACGTGAGTCCTAGACTCTTCCCGACTCTTTGTCCACCTGTCTGGGGGTGAGGCAGGCACTCGATCCTGAGGCTATTGGAGGTGGAAGCCGTGACATGGAGGACCACGGCTTATCCACGTGGCTTGGAGTATTTATGAAATACTCAGGGAGTGATGGGGAGGACAGTCATTCCCAAGGAGGACAGAAAATCACTGGGGATTAAAACAGAGGCAGCCCTGGAGAAAGGTCGCGGTGGCTTTGGTAAGAGAATACACGGAGGGCAGGAGGGTGGACCCAGCCAGGTGGGAGTTCGTCCGGGGCACCTCTAGGTGGGCAGGCTTCGCCTTTGTGGCCATGCTCAGCAAGCCTGGGGAGGGCAGCACCAGGGTGTGGGCAGGGAAGGAAGGAAGCACAGTTTGAAGCCAACTGTAGAGAGAACAGGGCCAGGCAGCCCGCATCTCCTGAAGGCCTGGCGTCACCTGCTCACCAGGGCAGATCACACGGCCCCTCGTCTCAGCATCCTGGACTGCACAGCAGGGCTTGAGCTCTTTGATCTCCAAACCCCATTCTGGTTCTAACCCAGCCTGGTCCAGAAGAAAGGGGAAGAAGAGGAAGGGAAGGGGAAAGAGGAGAGAAATGGAAGAAAGGAAGGAAGGGGTGGTGTGTCCTGCAGAGGCCAGGTCGCCTCGCCCCTCAGCAGTCGGCAAAGTCCGTGGGAAGGCCCTGCGGAGGCCAGGGCGGGAACGGTTTCCTTTGAGCACTAGGCTGGACCAAGCTTCCCTAAACCCCCTTGTTGCAGAAAGGGGAGAAAATCAATGTGGCTGTCAAGACCTGCAAGAAGGACTGCACCCTGGACAACAAGGAGAAGTTCATGAGCGAGGCAGGTAGGCACGCCTGGGCGGGGCCCAGACTCCCTGGCCCTCTAAGGGAGGGGAGAGGGGAGGGTTCTCCTACCGCTTTCCCCCATTCTCCTCTGTGACCTCCCGCTCCCACTTCAGTGATCATGAAGAATCTCGACCACCCCCACATCGTGAAGCTGATCGGCATCATCGAAGAGGAGCCCACCTGGATCATCATGGAACTGTACTCCTATGGGGAGGTGAGCTGGAGGAGGCAGGCCAGGCACCCTGAGGATAGCTGGGACACCAAGGGACACTTAGAGCAAAGGACACTTCTCCCAGTTTCCTGCCTTCCGTACTTCGCAGAAGCAGAGGCCCTGTTGATAGAGGAAGTCGCCAGAACAACTTGCTGACTTGGGGTTTGCCCCCAGAAGAAGGGGGGTCAGTGGCTGCCAGCAGCCCTGGCTCCATGCTGGGGTCCTGACGGCACCTCCCTCCCCACAGCTGGGCCACTATCTGGAGCGAAATAAGAACTCCCTGAAGGTGCCCACCCTCGTCCTGTACGCGCTGCAGATATGCAAAGCCATGGCCTACCTGGAGAGCATCAACTGTGTGCACAGGTGGGTGCACGGGGACAGCGGGAAGCCAAGCCCTTCCCTGACCCCAGAGGAGACTGAGGAGCAGGGCCAGGGTCCCACAGGGAGGAGCTGGAGTCCCAGCCTGGGCCCACGCCCAGCAGCTTAGAGCGCTTGAGCACCTCTACAAAGTTTTCCTCACTAAAAACCAAAACAGTTGTGGGACAGAGAACTGTCACTGGGATAGCTCCAGAGCAACTCCATAGCTCAGCCTCTGACTAAAGCTGAGACTTTCTGCCCCTCCCCTGCAACGCCAGGAAACCCCCTCCCACCTTCTCAGAGCTCCACCTCCTCCAGCCTGCCCACTTGGCAGCAGGGGGTCCAGGAAGAGGATCTGGGCCAGCAGAGCACTGGGAGATCCTGGGGTTGAGGCCCAGCACCACTCTCATTCCCCCTGGGGCTGTGGAGTTGTCCCTTCCCCACCTGGCCTTGTTCCCATTCCTTGAGAGGATATGGGGAGGGGAGAGGGGAGGGTTGCCATGGAAACATAGCTCCAGGAGATAACCTGGACACTTACCAGGTGCTTCCCCACCACTGACGTGGCCTGTGTGGCCTTGTGCCTCACCCTATGCAAAGCCACACAGGACGTATCCATTCATTCAGTGAGTATTATGGAGCTCCTCCTGGGTGCCAGGCACTGTCCTAGGTTCTTGGACAAAGTTGTGACTAAAACAGACAAACCTTGTCCTTGTGAAGCTCATGTCCTAGCATGAGAGTCCGGTACACCCTGTCGGTAGCTGTAGGCTAAGGGGGTGGAATGATGGGCCAGGCCCCTCGGGGTACTTAAGCCTGCATGCTTTCAAGTCAGCTTTTTAACCACGGAAGCAGACTTTTGGGAGCAGAGCTGCCTGCGAGAAGCCAACAGGCCCACTGGCTTGGGGTGGGGAGCTATGCCAGGGCCAGGGCCATCAGTACCAGTAGCTTCTCTGGGAGGCTGGAGCTCAGCTCGCAGGAAGCTACCTGTGTGCAACCTCTTCCTGCACTCACCTGCTGGGAACCTTCCTTCAGCTCTCCCACCTGCCCCAGGGTCCTAGGCAGTGCCTCACCCTGGTCTCCACATCCTTCTCTAGGGACATCACCATCAGGAACATCCTGGTAGCCTCCCCAGAGTGTGTGAAGCTGGGGGACTTTGGACTTTCTCGATACATTGAGGATGACAAGTATTACAAGGGTGACGGAACTTCCAGACCCTGCTTTGTCCCTGAAACCAAAATCCCAGAAGGAGCCTACAACTGGGCAGCCCAGACCACGGGCCTCTGGACAGTAGGCTGTTTTTCTGGAAAATTCTAGATCTTTCCTCCCTTAATAACGCCTGTAAACCTCTTTGCCCACCCCAAGCCTCTGTGACTCGTCTCCCCATCAAATGGATGTCCCCCGAATCCATTAACTTCCGGCGCTTCACGACAGCCAGTGACGTCTGGATGTTCGGTACGAGGCGATTCAGGAGGGTGTGGGAAGGGGCTCAGACTCTCCTCCGTGTGGGTGGACCAAGAGGAGGATGATCCCGGAACCCACAACACCCCAGTTCACTGTGGCCACTGAGAAGTCCCAGAGCGGGGGAGGTAGTGGTAGAGTCAGGGGTGACATGAGCCAAGGGCTGCCCTAGAAAATCTGGGTCCATCCTCCTGTAAAAGGCTCTGATGAGAAGCATGGACCCCACCAACCAGCTCCAAGGATAAATGTGGGGACGCCTGGAGGGGAGTTTCAAACACAAAACTCAGGTGTTTCACGTAAGGAGAAGCAGGGAGTGGAGAGTGCCCAGCTGGGTGTGAATGGACACCCTCCCCAAACACAGCCCTTCAGGTTACCTGCCAGTTCTCCCACAGCTGACTCTAAACCTCATCACTGTTACCCCCATTTTCCAAATAAGGAAACTGAGGCTCAGACCAGTAGGGGGCTTGCCCGTGATCATACAGGCAGCAAAGGGTGGTGCCTGGCCTACTACTGCAGCTCCTAATCTTCCCAAGAAGGTTCTGGGGTTCCAACGTGGCCACCTCCTGATCCTACAGAATCCAGACAGCTCCATGTTGAGGAAGTCAGGGAGGGGAAGCCCTGGTTCATGTACCGCAGATGTAGGTCGTTGGTCCCTTGAGTGGACCACCATGGTGGGTAAGACCCCAGTGGCCACAGAGGGGGGTTGCAAGATAACACAGACGCTCCCTGCTGGGACCAAGTGCAATGGCCATAGTGTCCCCGGGGTGCCCACTTCCCAGCAGGGTGCCTGACCTTCTCCCTCTGCCCTCAGCTGTGTGCATGTGGGAGATCCTGAGCTTTGGGAAGCAGCCTTTCTTCTGGCTGGAAAACAAGGATGTCATCGGGGTGCTGGAGAAGGGGGACCGGCTGCCCAAGCCTGACCTCTGTCCACCTGTCCTTTACACTCTCATGACCCGCTGCTGGGACTATGACCCCAGTGACCGGCCCCGCTTCACGGAGCTTGTGTGCAGCCTCAGGTGAGCATGGGCTGGGGAGCTGGGGGGG